CCTTATTTCTCTGCTAAAAGTTCAGATTATTTCATCTTCTTACTTAGGGACTGTTTAGCTGAAGTTCTTAGTTACCCGATCATAGATTCACTCCATGTTAGTCTTTGCTACAAGTCTTGTCGATTATGATAACGTCCATGGACTCGTTGTCTTCGAAGGAAAACGGACATACCCATCAATCAGTACTAGTCTCATTTTGTGAGGGTTAAGTTACATGGTTGACTAATCTTCTATGGAGTGGGCAAGTTTTCGTAATGCTTGAATCTTGTAGCAGATAATGTGACTGCTCGTTGCCTAACCAGACATATTTGAGAGCAGATACTGCGACTGCTCGTTACCTATCCTTGTCTGGACGTTGAGTGCTTATAGGACGCAGGAGTCGTGACCTTTTGTCCTTCAAGGATTAACTGTTAACCATGGAAGGATTGTGCCTTCATAAATTTAAGCAAGAACTACCAAGTTCTGACAGACAGATAATAACAATCAAATTAATATGAACAGCAGCATCGTCTACAGATTGATGTGGACAACATTTTCACCTCTTACATATTATTGAAAACAACTCTATATGACTCTTAACAGCAGTAATTAACTTCTTTTGTCTTCAAGTCTACGGTAATACATCAATTGGTCGGCTATTAACTACTCTACAATTCTGTCTAATTTCCCCGGGGCGGCCTGATTGCAAATCACCTAATTTAATCATCCCCTCAACAAAGGCCTTGAGAAATTCATTCCGATTCCTTGCAAACAGCCTCACATATTGACTAGTCTTTGGATATGTAAACAAAGTCTGATCAGAATTGAGAAATCCTCTCCCATTCATCAAGTCCTTAAAGTACTGGTTATCAAATCTCTCAGGTGTTGCATCCAAGCCCCCTGTTACATTCCCATCTCCTCCCAGGGGACAAAGCTTATCTAAATTCTCTCTGAAAATCGGCGATATTGTAGGGTCCGGTCTGCCCGTGCCGGATTGATTATAGAGTCGAAAAACAATAGAAAAGCACCTTCCTTTGCCAATGGAGTGAGAGCCAGAAAGAGCTACTAAATCTTTGGCAGAGAGATTGAATTTGCTGAAGAGATCAATGAGAAAACTTGCATTGGCTCTTGGACTTGGCATTATGTCATCTGCATCTTTTTGGCTTGCTGTCAAGCTATCTTGCCTTCCTAATTTCACTTCCCAATCAGGTCCTCCACTCTGGTTCAAGACAAGAAAAAAAAAACAGCAATATAATTCTTGTTTAAAGTAAAAGAAATTAACTTACAATTGTCCAGTCATCTTTTCTTGTATTCAAAAGTTGGCCTTTTGTTAATAATTACTTCTAGTGCTGGCGTGTTCTTCACCCATCTTTTGTTTATCTTCTTGGATTTGGCTTTTTGTTCACCATCTATGATACAAAGGGCCGTTTGGCAAACCCTCTGACTTTTCAAGATTAAGAAGTTTTTGAACATGTTTGAATAATTGTTTAACTAGAAAAAGGAGGTCGAAATTAATTTTCTAAGAAAAATCTCCTACAATAAGTAGAAGTAAAAGTAGAAACGGTGCCAAGCGGGCCCAAATTTAAAATAAAAAAGAAAGAGGTTATTATTAATACACAAGGATAATTATCATCTCATAACAAGATCATATATTTGAAACTTTTTGTCCACTTTGTTCTCTGATTAACTTTGATTTTATCTTCTCTTTGCAATGCAATCTTAGGATTTAAGACAAGGAATCTAGTGAAACCAAAGCATGACAACGGACTTGTTTAATAAGATAGACGACCAAACATGTCCTTTAGCTTATTGGAGATGTGAGGATCAAATTCCATCCCTTCCTCTTATGGCCCCCTTTGAGGCCAATTTTATACATTCAAAACAAAACCACGCACACAGGATGAAGCTTAAAGTTCTTACTAGAACCACTGCATCTCTTGCAGCCATGATTAGGATATCGGCACAAGAGACGACACCTGGGCAGACCCTCTCCAAGGTTTCCTTGGCTTCATCAATAACTTCATATGATCTTAATGAATTTATATTCGACAAAGATAATTTCTCCCCAAGCATGCTTGGCGTATCATCCAGCAACAATGAACCATCACATCCCTACAAAATCCAAGAAAATCTCAAATCAAAATCTTGATTGAACTAAAAGAATGTTACGACTTTCATTTGGTTTTGTTTTGTATTTTACATTAACAAAGCAATCATGGAATTGCAAGCGATTGACTGATGCGGCACTTCTTGGTTCCCTCTCCATGTTCTTCTTGATCACATCCCTGACCAGATGTTCAGCTTCCGGGCAAGTTTCCGCGTAAAAATGAGGCCGGAGTGGTGGCGCTGCGGTGGCAACGGCGAAGTTGAGGAGAAGGAAGGGGAGGAGAGCGGTGTGTAGCATTTTTGCTACTGGTTTGGTCAGTGTATTGAGGACCTTTACTGAAATGGTCCAAGAAAAGTTATTATTCCTAATCAACATTTGCATGTGTCGAACTCCTCTTTGCATTTGGGCACCACCGCACCAGCAATTTATAGGAATTTTTGTCTATTAACTGTAGATGGGCCAAGTGGCGATTTTGTGACAGGCAACAATACATAAGTAAGATGTTTAGTTTTACCAATTTCAAATTTAAGAACTTAAGTTTAAAATTTCAAATTTCAGATATTTTTAAATTAATTAATTAAACACATATTTTATTAATTAAATATATTAATGTCACAATTTCATATAATTTGGTCATAAATTATAAATTAATTGGTTACAAATTATTTCTCGATCATAATAAAAAAATTTATAGGTCACAAATTATTTCATAATGACAAATTGACAATTTTATAGTTCACAATTTTTTCATCGATACAAATTTATAAAATTAGTAAGTTACGTATTATTTACTAGTCACAAATCACAAATTTTATATATCACAAATTATTTTAACATCACAATTCAAAAACTTTATAAGTCAAAATTTGTTCATCGGTCACAAATCAAAAATTGAAACGTTACAATTTATTTATAGTTCACAAATATTATAAATCACAAATTATTAAATTATTGGTCACAAATTAACAATTTTTTAGGTCACAGTTCTTTTTTGGCCAATAATTTCATATCTCTCAGATTATTTTTCGGTCATAAATCAAAAATTTTTAGGTCACAGATTATTTATCAATCACAAAATGAAAACTTTTATTAGTCACAATTCGGTTATAACTTAATAAATTGTGAGTTTTTAGACTACAAATTATTAATTTGCCAAAAATTAACCAATTATTGGTTACAATCAACCAATAATTAGTCACAGACACCCATGTCAATATCATCTTACCCACGACCACAGCCACGACACCGCACACCGCACCGCCGTCAAACACCACCACTGCACCGTAATGCACACCTCTACCTCCACCGCACCATTAGTGACCTCCGTTCCTACCACTGCCAAAACATCACAGAACACACAAAGATCAGCACACATACCCACAGATCGCCCACCTCCATCACCCGTAACCCCAACCACCAACCCCACTAAAAAAATTCCCAAACCACCACCACGACCAGCATAGCAACCAAAGTGCCGCATTGCCACACTGACACCGTCAAACCGCCACTAGGGCTGTCCGTTGGTCGGTTCGGTTCGATTCTGAAGAGACCCAAACCGATCCAAAACTTTTGGGTATTTAATAAATGGACCCGTCGGGTCCAAATATAAATATATAATCGTTCGGGTTCGGTTCGAGTCTGTTCGGTTCCGTTCGGTTCGG